CATATATAAATATATATACATGTATAAACTAACATACACCCATATAGCAACCAACAAATGTGTGTATCTAAAATAAAAAATTTTAAATACAAAAATTTATATATGTAAATACATTTATACTATATATATATATGTATATATATATAAATGAATATATAGGGAGAGATGAATGTAGGGTAAATGGGTGTTGTATATGTATATGTAAGCGCGCGCATCTTGATAGGGTGCTGCTGCTACGGAGCGGCTGCGTGCTCGAGGTCTGACTGGCGCTCGCGCAATGTAGTCCCTCGGTTATCCTTGACGCGGGAGCATCGTCGTTTCGAAAGGGCTACCACAAGGGCCACCTTCCTGGTTACTTCTTCCTCTGTCGTTTTCTAATTATTATTATTATTATTATTGTTGTTGTTGTTATTATTATTAATAGTAGTAGTATTATCATTAAAAATTTGTCGTAAAATTTTTATCCCTCTCGCATTATCTCTTCGACAAAATTTCGAATTATTTTTAATTAATCAACAAAAGAACAAAAAAATTTACAGTTTACGTCTCTCCGGTGTGTGTTGAAAATTAAACGATTTTATTCCGATGAGATAACAAATCGAAATAAATATATTTTCTTTGATGAACATGGATACAGACGGTATGGGTCGTTGGACTTTGCTCGATTTAAAGGTTTCATAATTGGTGTTGACAAGAGAACATATATTATATTTGAATATTATATATCAAGTGTTATTTGTGATTTGTGGTAAAGAAACAATTGAAACGATGGTGTTTGCTCGATAAAGAACGAAAAAAAAAAAAAAGAAACAAGAATAAAGAAAGCTTCGTGAAGATCGAGATTATTACGGTGAGAATGATTGATAATCTTACGAATGTATGAATAATCTCGTAAAAAAACGAAACAAAACAAAAAAGGAAAGATAGTCATAAACGTGTGTTTAACACGTACGTGTTTTTGGTGTTTGTTTGTTTGTTTGTTTGTTTGACGAGTGCGGAAAAATAAAGTGTTATTATGCATAAAAAGTAGAAATAGGTGTTTGTCCAGGAGTAACAACTGGATATCAACGTGAAGGATCTAAAAAGTGAGAACACGTCTGTGTGTTGGGGGATTTTGATAACTTTGTCTCTATAAGTTCGCTAGTGAATTCTTGATAAGGACACTTAGGGAGAAAAGCTATTTTTCCTTGCTTTTTATTTCGTGGAATAACGTCAACGTGACTCTAACTTTCAGATACTTTTAAATCTTAAAGAAGAAGAATAAAGAAGAAACACAAGAATATAAAAAAAAAAAGAAAAATACGGAAGAATAAAAAAGTAAAAAAAAATAGAAGAAGAAGAAGAAGAAGAAGAAAAAGAAGAAGACGAAGAAGTTTCATTATTCTTGAAAGAGCATACGAGAAGAGAGGATTTCTTACTTGCCAAGTTGGCCGACCTACTCGTTGATTCTAATTTCGAATTCTATTGGGAAAGATTGAACCAGACTTTCCCTACGGAGAAATATTTCTTCCTCTTCTCTCTCTCTCTCTCTCTCTCTCTCTTTATCTCTTTATATCTTTCTATCTATCTATCTCTCTCTATCACTCTATCTCTCAAAGAATATCGCGTGGATTTTCATTAGAACTAATGGGATGTCATTTATCTAACTATTTGATAAATTCTATATAATCAATTTGGATTAAAATCCATGACCAATTGATCTAATTTCTAGTATTGGAACTTAACTATTTGATACAATCCTATTATCGGTCATTAGTATTATCTGTAGTTATCGTCATAATAATAATTAGGATCAATCGTACTTAATCGTAAATCCAGCAAACGCAATACTGATTAAATCCACGAAGATTGTTTACTATAGAAGCCTAGCCAATTAATTCGAAATCTAACTACGTCGACTACGACTACGACTACGACGACGACGACGACGACGACGACTACGACGACAAAGGTTGCATCTTGTGAGCATGGCATAGAATATGCGATGATCGATGAGCCGTCTAACGGTTGAACGATAATCGCTTTAACAACGACAACGCTTGGCCGATGTCTCCTCCTCTTTCCACGTTAACTATCCCCCTCTTCCTCTTCCACCACCTCGTCCTCATCCTGTCTCCCTCTAACCTAACTCCTTTTTGACATAATCGTTCCTGTCGTATTATTATCATAACGTAACGTGAATATAAAAAAAAAAAAAAGAATATATATAAAAAAAAATAGAGAGAAAGTGATAGAAAGAACAGAAATATTCCAAGAATCGTGTTCTTCTCACAAAATGGCAACTTTAATTCGAAGAGGTTGATATAACATAACTTATTATTAACTTCAGTATTAACAAATCTACCAATAAATGCACGCTAGATCTTAAATCACGACCAATGAAAAACGTCAATAATTTAAATATCCCAAACGCATGCGCACTAACAATTTTCAATCGCGTTAAACTTCATTGAATTTTATCATTGGTTAAAATCATCGCGAATAAGAATCTCTTAATGAATTCCTTCCAATAGTGGAAAATTCATTAACGAAGAAAATAAATAGAAGAGTAAAACAAAGAACGCGTTCGTTGGTATTGCTTTTATTTTTCTTGGTGATTTAAACTTCCTCATGTTTGTATATCCCCGTGTCTTTTTCTAGTCATTTATTTATATCCTCGTTCCATGTATGTATGTTCCACGTATCTTTTCTCTTTTGCGTAAAAAATCTTAATAAATCAGTGTCATCTTATGAAATTTTCTCAGTTTAAATTGGATAATTATTATATATAATTGTTTAAACCAATTAATTTTGCGTGTATTTTTCTAATATTTGTCATAAAACAAAAAGTGATTAAATCTAAATTATAATGCACGATGTAAATTAAACCTGCTCACAAATTATCCATCCACCAGTATATATCTCTTTTATTTTGAAACAAGAAAGAAAGAAAGGAAGAAAGTTATCAAAGTTACCAAATTACATCCTACGATTATCCTAATTTCTTGAACATTAGTCAAACGTGATTTGCAAATAAAATACGCGCGCGTGTCCTGTTGATTAAACTTACCGAACAATTTGCGTATTTGTAATTTTTCGATGGTCTCACTATAATCGCGAACGATTTAATACATTTTTGATAGTACATATTATTGATAAAAAAAAAAAAACAAAAAAAAGAATTTTCATTTCTTCGTGTTACGATATACCTCGCGTCGTATTAGTCAAAGTTAATATATATATATATATGTGTGTGTGTGTGTGTGTAGTTAGTTATATATGTGTATATGTGAACCCATTCATTTAACTTTGAATTGAACGAGCCGTAGGGATGTGTTAATGACAAACATCCTTGTTACGAAAGGGTCAACGAATAGGAAATAATCGATAATTCCTATATTCATCGCAAATCGTTCAAGTTGTTTCTAAAATAGGAAGAAAGAAGGAAAAAAGCAGCGCTCTAATGGTTTTTATATAAAACATTGAAGAAAATGTGTAAGTTCGACGATTCGAGGAGTTAATTTGAAGTGATAGCGAGTTACCTTCGCTTGTGGAACAATTATACGACGTGGAATAATAATATCTTGGAAATGAGCCTAAGATAGTATATATATATACATATATGCATATGTTATATACGTACCTATATTATACACGAGATGTCCGATATGTGAAAAAGCCTCGGCCTTGAGGAAAAGAGATGTCTACTTCTCTTCGCATATTCGTCACTCTTATCATTTCTTTTGGTAAGTATTTATTACTCATGCACTTATTTTCTTTTAAATGTCATAACACTCTTGTTTTTCTTTTAGTTAAAATTTAATTGTGAACAAACGTGACAATGATATTTTATATGATTCAATTTTTATATATATATATATATATTTTTTTTCAGTTTAATAATAAAAATATATATAATTTTTAATTTAATTTAATTTATTCAATAAACAAAATATTATATTTTTTAATTGAATAATAGTAATTTAAATAATAAATATGACGCGAAAACGAAGATTCTTTCTTATTCGAGTTTTTAATCCGTTAAATTTGATTTAAATAAATTCTTTTTAAATTGCGAGACTTCTCTTTCTGCTTTTGAAATAACTTTAAGCTATATTTTGATGAATAAGAACTAATGTCATTTTTATCGATCGTTTTAAGATAAATCGTTCAAGTAAAATATCTTAGAAATGTTCTTGCCAAGGATTAAGATTAATGCACTCGTTGAAACCGAGTGAACATGACGATCGCAGAAATAGTTCAAAAATTTTCATCGAAATGGAAAAGAAAAGTACTGATTTCGATGTTATTCAGCGTTCAATTTTCATAGAAACTATTTTTATCGAATATCGATTTGTTTGTTGTCACATTTACGAATGAACACTCTATTTCTAATTTTCTTATCGAAAAATACAACAAAATTTACATTTATTTCTTTTCATTTATTTTATATATATATATATATTTTTTCTATGCATGTAAACGAACTATTATGTGTAAAAAAAATATACAGTTCTTTCATTTTATCACGTTAGAATTTGATTAGAAACTAATGAAAGTATAAACGATTTGTCTAGAGTAATATATCGTTAGTAACAATGCTAATGAACTATCTTTCGATATCGATAACACCACTGAATCTTTTATTAACGATGCATACGCCAAGACACGTTAGTATCTAATTCCTGAGGGCTGCATTACTTAGCTGGAAACTTAGTCCTTAGGGAATATTAGAAGTTACGGTCCATTAACGCCTTCGCAAAGATTCACTACTTTACGATAATGTACTTGCTCATTAACGCAACCGTATAATCTTTCTACTAATATCGTACAAATGATAACATTCAAATAATATAACGAATATGTATTAGTTAAACTATAATACGATAATTTATTTTTCTTTTTTTTACCTCGTTTTTGTTTATTCTTCATTTTAATCAAAATGCCCATTAATCGATAACCAAATTTACGGTAAAACGAAACGAAACGAAACGAAACGAACCGATTTGAAATATAAAATATTTTTCATCCTACTGTCCGTGTTTTTAAAATCTTTTCCTTTTTTTTTTTTTTGTTCGCGATACGAAGTTTCCGTTTTTTAAAATTGCGTATAGAAACAAATAAACGAAAGATAAAAAAAAACAGATTAGAGTTGAGTTCGACAAAAAAAAAAAGAAAAATAAGAGAACACGATTAATTGGTACCCCGTGTTGTTCGAGACTACAAAAAACAGGATAACCGTTTCAAGTGTGAAAATACAAGATTATAAGTAATAACGTATATGTAATGTGTATTTATTTCAATTAAAATGAAATATTATTCAGAACTCATAGACGTGATTTTTCAAATTTCGTGATAAAAGTTATATAGTTCCTTTATAATTATGAATAATTCTATCTTTGATCATAACTCACTATTTTATCAAAAAAATAAATGACATATTTGGAAATATAATTTTAAATGAAATAATATATTATCTATTTTATTCTTTTCCAAATAATTACTCGCAAATTGTGTAATTTGAAACCGTGTAATTCGAGGGAATTATCTGTATACAGGTTGAATCACGGTACGTGACTTTCAAAAATAAAAAAAAAGTTTCCGGCATAGTTAAACTAAATTAGGAGACAAATGTAATGGTAAATGAAACCTTTTGTTTTAAGATAATTGTTTTATGAGATATCAAAGTCATCATTATTTTTTTTTAAATAGAATGCCTAATTTTTGTTTTCTGGATTGATCTGATAAAACATTAAATTCTGCATTAAAAAAACTATCATACAATGCAGGGTTATTCTTGTACAATTAGGATAATACATTTTATACTACCATAATAATGAACAATACTAAAAATGACAAATTTGGTCAAATATCAGCACAAATACATTTCTGTGATATAATAAAATAGAATTGATCAAATTATGAGACCTTAAGAAATGTGACCGAGAAAGTGAGTGATGGGCTGGAATAATATGGGGTTGAACAGGATAGAAAGTAGAATAATTCGAGTAGAAGATTATTCTGAATATTAGCATACGAAGTACAATAAATTAGAATGACGAGTTTTATTACTTACATTTTTCACCGACGTGCTGTTATCTTAATCAGAATTATTGAATTCGTCTATTAATAATGGACAAATTATGTTAAATAAGTGTTTATCTGATTAAGTAGGATTTGAGTTGTTCACTACTTTTATGTATCAGCTTATTATCCTTCATGAAATTCGTGTAGAGATTGACCAACTAATCCAGGATTGAACAGAGACATTTTCCTACTAAAACCGAAATCATAAATTTCGAGTTCTTTTCTTCTAGACTATTCCAATCCCCACTTTCTTTTTTCCATGGCAAATGATTTTTCAAAAGACAAAACATTAGTTTTTTATTGGGTAGATATACTAACTCCTCCCTACCAGCTTGATTGGTTATTGTATTTTCAAAGTAGGAATAGGGATGATGCAAACTTCTCCAAATTTAAACGAAATGCATTAGTTTATGGTAGAAATAAAATTCTTTCAAATAATTTAGGTTTCTAGGAATATTTAAGGATACATATGGGTAGATGACAAAGAATCGGAAAATTTGTTAATGTTCAAAAGAAAATGATGACGAAGGTTGGTTGTGAGGGTTCGGTAAAAATTGTAAAATAAAGCTTCGAGTACCAACATAAGTCATTCTCGTGTTGCACAAACCTAAAATCGACAAGGAAAATATTGAAGTATGACAAAAAGAAAGATAAAAAACGTTGGTAAGATATTAAAAGTAAAACAAATCAAATTGGAATAATTCTCTCTGTATATAAAAAATATTTAAACAACAAAAATATATATATATATATATATATTAAGTATGACCCAAAGAATTGAAATAATTAAAAAAATAAAATAAATAAAATATACAACAGAAATGACCTCATTCTGTTGAAAATAACAGTTATTTATGTTAGTAATAAAAATATATTATCATAAATGACTAGAAAATTAAATAGAGATATAAGTAAATGCGTTTTGTATGTTAAAAAAATCTTATCAGAAGTATGTTCTTGAAACCAAAAATATTTAGAGATAGAGAGAGAGAGAGAGAGAGAGAGAGAAGAAAAAAAACCCAAAACCGGTTTAAGTATGTCGAATATAGTAAAATAAGTCAGACAAAAAAAAGACTACAATTTTATTTAATATAATGCTACTATAATATACAGATGGACTCGTTAGAATGAAGATAATAGGTGTTTCGAGTAGATAGGAATATACTAGAAAATTCGTTGAGAATTTATGAGTGGTTATCATCTTACGGCAGGTACTCCGTTCGTGCCAATAACTCGTCCTGTGAAAAGGATGGGTGTATACGGGGAGGAGGGTATATATGGAAAATGTAAAGGGTTGGGGGGGGAAGCGGTAGGTTGGTAAGTGTGAAAGAAGGCTAAAAAAACGAAGACACATTGTAGATAGCATACTTGTAATAGTATGAGTAGTATATACCTATATGTGTATATATATAAAATATATGTATAAACCTCGTAAAAATAATTTCTTGTTTTCTCTTCAAAAGTATCTCTCTCTCTCTCTCTCTCTTTTTCTCTTTCCTTCGACGCCTATGGTTTTTATAAAGAGGTCCCACGGGTGAAAAAGCTTGCTGGAAAAGCTTTTTCCTCTACTTCTTTCCTCTTCTTCTACTACTTTTTCTTTTTTTTTTTTCTTTTTCTAATTTCTTTTTGTCTCTCTCTCTTCTTTTTTTTTTTTTATATTTCTTTCCTTCTTTCTATTTCGATGAGAGAAAACGCATACATAGTTATCAACGTACCAACGTTACAACGTAGTACGCATAAAAAGACTGCTGCTGATGCTGCTGTTGGAAAACGTGAACGGAAAGCGAAATAGAAAATAAAGGAGAAAGAAAGTATAGAAAAGAAAATGTCGAATGGCGGAAGAAAAATTTTAGGGTCAAACGTTTAACGTTTTTTCTTTCTCACATTTTATAATTCTTTTTTTTGTTTTTTTTTTTTTTTTTTTTTTTTTTTTTTTTTTTTTTGATCGACCGTTCAGAATATTTACGAGAGAAAAACGGTTGTTTTTGCGGTACTTTTTTTTTTTTTCTTTTTTTCGTGAAACGCGAAAAAAAAAGAAAAGAAAAGAAAAGTAAAGTAAAGAAAAGTAAAAAAGAGAAATTGTATGAAATCGTAATGCGCGACATCGATGTGAAAAAATATTCCGGAAAGAGAGAGAAAGAGAGAGCGAGAAAGAAAAGAAAAAAAAGTATAGAGATACGAGTGAAATAGTCTTTTACGTTCGTTTACGTCATAAATTATTTCCATTGGAGATCGCTAAATGAAAATTCTACGAACGGTATTTTCGCTACGAATGTTTTTCAACACAGTCACACACACATACAGATTATCCTTGTACACGTTCGCGGGCCTAACCAATAATGCAAAGGGGAATAAAAAATGAAAGAAAGAAAGAAAGAAAGAGAAAAAGAGAGAAGAAAACGACGAAGAAGAAGAAGAAGAAGTGAATAAAACAAATGAAGAGGAAAAAAAGAAGTAAACGAAAAAAAGAAAGAAAAAAAAAAAAAAAACTGGATACGAAGGAGAATAAACGAATCAACGGGTTGGGGAACCGAACGAAAAACTCGAATCGAGTACCGGCGCTATATAACTTGACACCGATTTCCTCTGACAAAATTTCAAACGCAAATCCGATTAAAGCTCGCAGTTTTACGAATCAGCCGGATTAACCTTGCATCCT